TACTGTGTACGACACTAAGGTTGACCAGGTACCTAGAGAAGTGTGCAACACCGTGAGTATGCAGGAGTGTAATCAGGTACCCCGGGAGAAGTGTAAGAGTATCCAGGTTCCTCAGATCAAATCAGTCCCAGAGCAGAAGTGCAAGTCTGTTCCTGAAGAGAAGTGCTCTACTGTCCAAGAGCAGGAATGCAAGAATATCGTTGAACAGGATTGTGATACAAAGTATGATCAGGAGTGCCGAACTGAATACTCGGAGAAGTGTGACACCGTCCAGGAGCAGGTTTGTGACACTGTAACAGAAACCCAGGTAGAACTTGTAACCCGGCAGAAGTGTGCTCTGGTCCCTGTAGAAGAATGCCATGATGCTCCTGAGCAAGTGTGTCAGCAGGTTCAGAAACCTGTCACTAAAACCAAGCAGGTTGAAGAGTGTTCCACAGTATATGATCAGCAGTGTAGTACTAAACAGGAAGAATCCTGCTCTACTGTTACCGACCAGCAATGTAAGACTGTAACTGACCGCCAGTGCTCTATGGTGACTGATCGCCAGTGTTCTACTGTGTATAAGAAGGAATGCAGAACTACAACGGTCCAGGAGTGCACCAGTGTCAAGGGAGTACAGAAGTGCTGGGATGAACCAAGAGAGGTTTGCGAGCAGGTTCCAAGGTTAGTAGATTTTTAGAGTTTCTACCCAAATCTCCTCTGCCCCCCCAAAAAACTGGGGATATTAGAAATCACCCCCACCCTCGTTCTATTTATTGTAATACTAAAACATTCCATCCATTTTTGGAAAGCTCTAAAGGTTACACATTTAATTTTTATGGGATTGGCTTCTTCCTGTTGTCGTAGGCTATGTAAGAATATTTCAATATTGTTTAGGACATATAAGGCATTGTCTTAGGACTTAAGAAATACAGCTTTAATCAGAAACCCAAAAATATTTAACATCCTCAGATCAGATTGGAGTCATGAACAAAATTGTACTGGAATAGGGTTAAAGTTTATTTCTGTGTTAAGTGAGAAATGTTGGGACGAGCCCCGTGAAGTATGCCGTGAAGTCCCAAGACAGGAGTGCAAAGATGTTCAAAGACAAAACTGCGTTCAGGTACGTTTCTCAAGATTTTATTTTCTAAGTGACTGTTAGTGTTATTTCAAGTAACTCTTCATGAATAGATGACAATGCCTGACTTACAACGGTGCCATTAATAGCTTTATCTGATTAAGCATGAATTAGATCTCCATGATTTTATTTCTCGCGCATTTCTTGCTTAAAAGAAACAAATTATCTAAACCAAACATTTATTCATCAGATTTTATGAAACCGTTGCATGGAGGGTCGCTTGAAACTTCGCTTCCCGTCCCCAGATATTTTTTACATTGTTCTCCAGGTTCCCCGTGAGGAGTGTAACCAAGTCCCTCGGCAGGAGTGTAGACAAGTACCAAGATCCTACACTACTACAGAGAGTGCTGAGGAGTGTAGTACAATTACTCGTCCTGTGTGTCGTCCAGTACCTAGAAACCAGTGTAGGGACGAACAACAACAGGTGTCAACTCTCGTCCCAAAACAAAAGTGTTACTCTAAACCCAAGCAGGTATAAAAGTTATACTTTTATAATATTTCACTGCAGTTGTCCATGTTATTTAAGAATTTTTGATAAAACGTTTATTCTGCTGACCGAAACAACTGGTGAATTAGTATAACTACTTTACGCTCTTATTGAAAAATTGTACACCCGCAAAAATGAATCCTAAGGTTGTTCTCTACAAGAATGTACTTTCAGCTCAACTGCCATGTCTAGCTAATCACTCCCTTTAAGTAAAAAGAAAAATTACTTTTAAAAATATATTTTCTAGGTTTGTCAGCAAGTTCCAAACCAGGTTTGCAAGCAAGTTCAAAGACAAGAATGCAATCCAATCAACAGGTTATTTTGACTTTGTGTTTAGTCAAATTTTTATCTTTAATTTATTTTTGAACATTGTTTTTGTTCAGACAAAAGTGTGAGTTAGTTCCGAGACAGAAGTGTCACACAGAAACTAGACAAGCGTGTACTACTGAGTACAAGGACATTACCAACTATGTATCGGAGCAGTCCTGCAGTACAGTACAAGATAATGTCTGTAACTCTGTGCCCAAGCAGGTCTGCAGTACAGTCACTGATTCTGTTTCTAAACAGGTAATTAAAGGAACTGAATACTCTCATCGTACTCTAGTTTTCACATCTTTATACAATATACAGTGATAACCTGAAAAACATGGAATATGAAGACGACATTACAGCAATACTTAATTGTGTTTGATGTTATAAATCAAATAGTCTTACTAGATACAACTTGACTCAAGCTCATGTGGAATTTAAGTGATACCTTTGTTCTAATAGTCTTCTTCGCTTAGTTCTAATAGTCTTTTTCACTTGGTTCTAATAGAAGTTCTTCCTATTTCAGAGTTTTTTGATCATACTGTTTCTTTGCAACGTTGTTTAATTTTGTTAGAAAAATATAAATTTGAAATACCATAGGTTTGCACAATTAGATATGGTTTTTGTTTGTTTTAATATGTTTTCTCCGTACCCCGGGAGTAGTGTAAGAACGTATCCCGTCAGGATTGTTGATATAATCTAATATGTTTACTCCAGGTACCCCGGGAGGAGTGTAAGAACGTATCCCGCCAAGATTGTCGAGATGTTCCAAGGCAGAGAACTGAATATAGAACTGAACAAGAATGTAGGACTGTATCTGAGAGACAGTGTAGTAAGGTTTCCCGTCAACAGTGCAACTACCACTCTTCGTAATCTTACTGAACCTGGATAAATTATATATTTGTGCTGTGAACAAAGAATTCTCATGTTTTACTTTTTATTTCGATCTTGTGATTATTTTTAATCAATAAAACGACTTTATAGTAATCCTTTGTCAATTTAATCTTTGCAGGGACAACATAAAAAAGTTTAAGAGTAGAGTTGTAAAAAACTAAACTTTCTCTATTAAAGTCGCTAAGTTTTCCCTGTAAAAGTCTACCTTCTAAAATTAAAATTTTCACCATGGTTAAAAACATTCAAGTGCACATGCTTAAGCTCTGAAACCAAACTAGATTTACTTGATACCCCAGCAACTGCTCTAGGGTTAACCTCACTGCAGTCTTAACCTAGCTCCAGGGTTTAACTTGTCTCTAGCAATGAGCCTGTACTAGGACCAAACCAAAGGAATTGAGTTATTGCCACAAACTTAAATTTTTTAATCTCTATATCTTTGCAATCTGATGGTGTTAACTTTTGATATTTCATACTTAGGCTATTTCATCAAACATTATTCATAGTTTGAAATTTTTAAGGTCTGCGATATCGGGTTGCAAAGGTATAATGATTACAAAATTAGAGTTAGTGGCAAAAACTCATTTTCTTTGTTCCTTGTCTAAACCTTCTCAATCTTTGAATCTGTTCCTTGTCTAAACTTTCTTATTTTTAAATCTGTTTCTTGTCTAAACCTTCTTAATCTTGGAATCGGCTTCTTGTCAAACTTTCTCAATTTTTGATTTGTTCCCTGTCTAAACTTTCTCAAATCTTTGAATCTGTTCCTTGTCTAAACCATCTAAATCTTTGAATCAGCTCCTTGTCGAACTTTCTCAAATCTTTGAATCTATTCCTTGTCTAAACTTTCTTAATCTTTGAATCTGTTCCTTGTATAAACTTTCTTAATCTATGAATCTATTCCTTGTCTAAACTTTCTCAAATCTATGAATCTGTTCCTTGTCTAAACCTGCTCCATCTTTGAATCTGTTCCTTATCTAAACTTTCTCAAATCTTTGAATCTGTTCCTTGTATAAACTTTCTCCAATCTTTGAATCTATTCCTTGTCTAAACTTTCTCAAATCTTTGAATCTGTTCCTTGTATAAACTTTCTCAAATCTTTGAATCTATTCCTTGTCTAAACTTGCTCAATCTTTGAATCTATTCCTTGTCTAAAGTTTCTAAATCTTTGAATCTGTTCCTTGTATAAACTTTCTCAAATCTTTGAATCTATTCCTTGTCTAAACTTTCTCAATCTTTGAATCTGTTCCTTGTATAAACTTTCTCAAATCTTTGAATCTATTCCTTGTCTAAACTTGCTCAATCTTTGAATCTATTCCTTGTCTAAAGTTTCTAAATCTTTGAATCTGTTCCTTGTATAAACTTTCTCAAATCTTTGAATCTATTCCTTGTCTAAACTTTCTCAATCTTTGAATCTGTTCCTTGTATAAACTTTCTCAAATCTTTGAATCTATTCCTTGTCTAAACTTGCTCAATCTTTGAATCTATTCCTTGTCTAAAGTTTCTAAATCTTTGAATCTGTTCCTTGTATAAACTTTCTCAATCTTTTGATCTGCTACATGTCTAAGCCTACTCAAACTCAAATAATTCTCTATTCAATTTGTCTTCAGGTCTGAATTGGTATAGATCCTTTATTAAACCTGTTGGAGAGCCTATTCCGACTGAGGGGGTCACCGTGACCCCCCCCCCTCTCCCTGTCGTTTTTTTTTGCGATAACTCAAATACTATTGGTCTGAGGCTGTTCAAATTTTTTGACTTTTCTAACTAATACATGCGCCTTACTTTAGGCTTAAAGCTCTGCTTTTATACCCCCTGTCTGAGTCGCTTTTTCAATTTCTCAACCTGCTCTTGGGTTGAACTTTATTAAGCTCTTAATATTTGAACCTGCTCTGGCTATTGACCTTAGCCAGAGCTGAACCTGCTCAAAATCTAAACCTGCAGTCCATCCGGCGTTTAAGCATTGCAGAGCACCTGTCCCATCTACTTAGATTGTTTAAATTTTAAACTGACCTCCCCCCCCCACCCCCTTCCCTGCCCTCACAGACTCATTCCAGCTATTTCTCACTTTGTTTGACATTATGAGCTCAAATACCGAGAAAATACCTATTTAATGCCACAGTTTCAAAGAGGGGGTGGAGACTAGAGAAACATGAAAAGAGACAAGCTGGGTGAAAAGGAGGAGTAGAGAGGGNAAACATTGATCCTATCCTGTTCTTGATCCTCTACATATTCTCCATTATAAACTTAATCCTATCCTATAATTGATCCTCTACATATTCTCTAATATATCCTTGATCCTATCCTATTCTTGATCCTCTACATGTTCTCCAATATCTCCTTGATTCTATCCTGTTCTTGATCCTCTACATATTCTCCAATATCTCCTTGATCCTATCCTATTCTTGAACCTCTACATGTTCTTAAATATCTCCTTGATCCTATCCTGTTCTTGAACCTCTACATATTCTCCAATGTCTCCTCGATAATATCCTGTTCTTGATCCTCTACATATTCTCCAATATTTCCTTGATCCTATCCTGTTCTTGACCCTCTACATGTTCTCCAATATCTCCTTGATTCTATCCTGTTCTTGATCCTCTACATATTCTCCAATATCTCCTTGATCCTATCCTGTTCTTGATCCTCTACATATTCTCCAATATCTCCTTGATCCTATCCTGTTCTTGATCCTCTACATGTTCTCCAATATCTCCTTGATCCTATCCTGTTCTTGAACCTCGTCTGGATGAAGAAACTCCCTCTCTGATGGGAAGAATGCAGGCCTGAAAATATCAAAAATTAAGATAAAAAAATGTATTAAAAATGTATACGGCAGAATCCACATAGATTCTAAATTTTATGCACAGTGTCTCAAAACACATGAGAATTAAGAGACGATTTCGAAATTAATCTTAAACATTTTTTAATATTTATTTTTGAATTTTTAAAAGAGCAGTGAATGTTTCTAGTTAGGTGTTGTATCTTCTTTTTAGCTGATCATACAAAATATTCATCTTTCATTTCAGTTAAAAAATTATTGACAATGGTTTTAGATTAAATGAAAGATTTTACTTCTTATTAGTTTTACAAATGATGGTGAAGCTTTATTATTCTAAATATTACTGAACAGGGGGTATTTTGAAAATTGAAAACATAAAAGAAGCAAAGCATATTTTGGATTAAAAAACAATTATAACTCATCACTTCGTAATATTATTATTGTGCATTACATCAAAAAGAAGAGTATGACAAGACATTGAGTTTAAGAAACCTAATGTTACATGTATCTCTGTCTTATCTATTTTGTTTTTTCATTTTTTTATTCTTGTTGTACCAAAAGTTAGTTTTTTTTTACCTGAGTGAGAATAGGTTGACATGAACCGGTTTTCTTGTTGACAAACAAGAAGTGATCCAGTCATTCCAGGGAACCCGCAGGTTTATTAGTCCACTGATTTCATTTGATCCTTCAAAAATATCATCTTACTCAAATATTTGCTAACATTTAAAAAAAAAAAATATTTCCCACAAGTCTATGGTGTGACTTTCTTACTTTTTATTGGCTTTTTAAAATATTTTTTTTTATTTGTGATTTTAAAGGTGGTTTCAGTTAAGACGGATTAAAAAAAGACCCTCACGAGTAATGTCCATCAACAGCCAGTTAGGATTTTTTTTTATTTCATCGGCCGATTTCCATAGAGCGCCGGTTTGAGGTGTACACTTAAAGTTGCAAAGTGCACTAGACGGAAAATGGTCTAATTAATGTGGGGGGGNTCTGGTATGGTTACTTAAACATGGATAATCTGGTATGGTTACTTAAACATGGATAATCTGGTATGGTTACTTAAACATGGATAATCTGGTATGGTTACTTAAACATGGATAATCTGGTATGGTTACTTAAACATGGATAATCTGGTATGGTTACTTAAACATGGATAATCTGGTATGGTTACTTAAACATGGATAATCTGGTATGGTTACTTAAACATGGATAAGTTCTAATTATCTCTTTAACCCTGACATCAAAGAGAAGAAAGAATTACCAACAAAGTTGATCATGTGCAGAGGAGAACGGTCTGGTTGAGGAGAACTGTTCCAGGGTTTCATCTTGGGTGGAGAACTCTCAGATTCTTGAAACCCTAGGTTCCAGTTAATCCAGGTACTGTTATAGCACACAAACCTTAATATTTTATCAACTAATAACCTTATAATGAACCAAAAATTCTTAATTCAAACAATCATAAGATGAAATCAACAACGGTAATATCAAATGTATATACCAATGAAAAATCTAGCCAGAAAAGGAAATGAGTAATTTTAAGAAAAACGAGATAAAATGCCCTAATAAACTATTTAAAGGGGCTGTAAGCGTGATGCTCGACTTCCAACTGTAACCTTAAACTTGCCTTAAACGCTTTGTCTAGCTGATTAAGTATATATTAGATTTGTTTCTTTAAACTGTTTACTTTAAACACTTTTCAAGTTAGGAAAACACAGACTCTTCCACATTTTTGATCCGATTAAAGTTAGAATTCTACCATTTTAAACCGGATATTGACATCTTGGCACGGAGGGTCACTTAAAATTACGCTGACTGTCCCTTTAAGTGTAAATACCTGTAAAGGGCGGTTAATGGAAGTAAAGACGACCTCTCCTGAAGTATCTCTGCTGCTACACATTCATACTAGAGAAACAAACTTTAAACTTAACATTCCAACGAAATAAACAGAACCGTATAGGGAGTGACCGGCTAGGTACTGCAGTTGAACTGAGAGTGCAGTCTTAAAACATTAAATATCAGGATTAATTTTGTACCTATAAACGTTTTACGGCTTATAATTGCATTGTATTTTCAATGATAGAACGTAAAAACGTATCATGGGTATAGAATAATTCCTGATTTATTCTATAATACTCTCAGTTCAACTGCCATAAATAGCCAGTCCATTCTTAAAGTAAAGTCTTACTCAAGTCTCAAACATACTCATTTAAACAAATAAAAAAGATTGACACTTTAAAAAAAGTATGATAAAAAGACTTAGTTTAGTTTCTTCCTTGATTAGAAGCATTTCATCGGAGAAGGTTTCCTCTACATCAGATAACCCAGTTCCACTGTCGGAATCATCATCTTTCGAGTCTCCAGAGAGAAGACGACTTTTCATAGAGTTCAACAACTGTTCTAACTCCGGGGTGGAGTTTAAACAACAAATATTCTCATTCAAGCCTTGAAGAAATTCAAGCTTTCCCTCCTCTATGCCTTGATTCCTAAATGTGGGTTTTTACAGTTTAACCAAAAACTTCGGAGACATCGAGAGAATTTATAAAATTTCGTTTTCTAAACCTACTAATAATGTAATTCTGCAGATATTTAGTTTTTTAATTAAATAATCATATGAAGCTCTTTAAAACTGTCACCGCATATTTCATGGCTATACATCTTTTTAGAATTACTGAGATTCAAAGGTATAATAGTACAAAAACCATTGAAAAATTGTCAAGAAGAAGTTTATGAATTATTTCGGTGTATCCATGTTCCTGTACCTGCACAGTGTACCTGTACCTGTACCTGTACCTTTACCTGTACCAAGTACCTGTACCTGTACCTGTACCTGTACCTGTACCTGTACCTGTACCTGTACCTGTACCTGTACCTGTACCTGTATAGATGTATAAGTGTATTTATAGTAGTATATATTGATGTGAAGATGAAGTGCAGAACGATGGATCCACACAAAGGAGTACAATTGGAAGGGGAGAACTCCTGAACAAGAGTTTAAATGCCGTCTTTTTTTCATAATACAAATCTAATTATACAGGTTTACCCCCAAAAATGAAGACTTCAGAAACAACTGTACAACATTTTTAGTGTTTATGATTCGATGCATCTGTAAACTTTTTCCTTTGTCTAATATTTAAATAGAAAAATAATATTCAAGGCAGACATAAGAATTTTTGGTCGTATTTAGTCTCATCCTTTGTGGTTAGCCCTGTATAATTACCTCAATGGAGAATAGGAATCCAACCAAACTGACAGGAATAGATTCTTCAAGACTAATCAAGGATTTGATAAGAAGCCCCCGGGCCTACAATAGTGATTATTATTAACATTTTCATATAGTTTTATAGACAGGGTGTCCCAATAAACATGGGAATTGAGATACGACTTTCAAGTCGTCTATGATTTCTGATATTTGGTGTATGGAGAAAAAAACTAAAAAAAACGAGACTGCAGGTCTGATGAGTTTTTCATAAAGTAGTCTACCTTCCTCGTGTCTTAAAAATTAACGAAGATATGAGATATTAGGACAATTTTGATTTATGAAACAAATTGAAATTTTTACAAATTTTGCCATATCTGTCAATTTTGAAGATACAAAAATGGTTGACCACATTTTGAAAATCTCAAGACCAGACGTTTTAGATGTTGTATGTTTAAGCTGGAATACTGCAATAATTGTGTGTATGAGAAAATGCCGCATGGATCGAAGACGATATAAAAGTCGTCACTGAATTCCCATGTTTATTGGGACACCCTGTAGTTGCCAAGGGCGAACGAGAGCCTTAGAGAAGGGGAGCACGTTTTGCGTTCGTGAGCGCGCCGATTTTTTTTGTGTACCCCTAGAAGATTTTGTGCCCCTTAAAACTTCTATTTTGGCAAAAGTATTGATTAGTTTTATATCTTTATTGAAGAACATTATGTCTTTTATACTTAGGCTTTTAATTTGTTAATTAAATATCATAGTTGCTAAGGAAATGAGTTCATGTCACAAACTCAAAATTATAATCCCTACATCTGCAACCCAATATCATAGATCTTTGATATTTCAAACTGTGAATCAATTTTCGAAAAAATAGGGATTAGAAAATTTGAGTTTGTGGCAAAAAGTCAGTTCCTTTCATAAAAAATCTTTCCCCTTTTCAACAATATTTTTCCCCCTAGAAATTATATATATGTTTGCGCTGAGCAGAAAAAAAATTGTTGGGTTTTATTTGCTGAATTTTTGGGCAGGAAGTAATAACAAGGAAACAAGTACCCCCCCTTATTCATCAAAAATAATATTTCCTGCAGGAGTTAGGTTTGTAAATTTTTTGTTAAAAAGAATTAAAAAATAGAGAAAAAGTTTTTTGTTTCTTTTGTGATCACCAAATTGATTTTTGTTCACAGAAATTAGATATGTTTGCGCAAAGCGCAATAAACTTCTCCAGGGTTTTCAAATATTAATAAAGGATGAATAACTTGCCTTTTAATGTCAAACTTTTCATTTTTTTACCCCACGTACATCATATATAATCATTTCATGAAGCACGTGCACCAAGTGCCCCAACTCGTGCGCCGCTGATACAGGGTGTCCCACGAAACATGACAGTTGCTGAATAGTTTTGAATGTTTTCTTCCATATAATGTATTAGATATTAAAGACTTTTCGCAGTTTATTTAGTTTGAAAAAAAAACTTTACTCAAATACTTAGAAATCAATTTTACTATAATATGGATGCCATAAAATATTTATTATTATTTTCTTTAAACTATTTACCAACTGTCATGTTTCGTGGGACACCCTGTAGTTGCTCTTGATTTAACATCAAATAAAGTTTAAGATTATCATTACGTACCTTGGGTATTTTATTAAGACTAGACGAAATACCATTTCCCATACTTCTTATGATATCTTCGACTGCAGGACTGAAACAAAATATATGATCCACATTGCTTGCTTTGTTAGGAAGGAAACAGAATTGCTTCGTTGAAGGGATTCATAATTACTCCGTTGAAAGGTTTCATAATTACTCCGTTGAAAGGTTTCATAATTACTCTAGGTAAAACAAAAACATGACTGTGAATTTTCTAAGTAGGGTAGGTGACATTATTGCTCTAGGTAGAACGAAACATGACTGTCAATTTTCTAAGTAGGGTAGGTGACATGATTGCTCTAGGTAGAACGAAAATATGACTGTCAATTTTCTGAGTAGGGTAGGTGACATAATTGCTCTAGGTAGAACGAAAAGATGACTGTCAATTTTCAAAGCAGGTAGGTGACATAATTGCTCTAGGTAGAACGAAACATGACTGTCAATTTTCAAAGCAGGGTAGGTGACATGATTGCTCTAGGTAGAACGAAATATGACTTAAATTTTCAAAGCAGGTAGGTGACATAATTGCTCTAGGTAGAACGAATATATGACTGTGAATTTTCAAAGCAGGTAGGTGACAGAATTGCTCCGGGTAGAACAAATATATGAAAACTATAAAAAATAGAACTTGATAAACGATAGAAGACATGATTACTCTGGGTACAGTGAGACCTATAAAATTGTGAAATAGACGGTATTTAAGCAATCTGATGAGTACTATAATGCGGGTTTAAAGCAAATAAAGGGGGTACATAAAAAAAGGTTCCCACTTACATTTTAAATTCTAGAGCTCTCAATAATGGCAATAAAATCTGGTGAATTCATATTTATCTAATATTAATTATAAAGAAAACAATTCATGTAAAAAAATCGTATCTGGAAATGATTTAGTAGTTGTTTTTGGACATCTGCAACCCGACGTTGAAAATTGCAGACACATAGACTCTATCAAGGGACTCTCACAACCTTTTAAACTCTACAAAGGTTCTTATTTGTGTTCATCTACTTCTTCTCTTTAAAATGCTGTTTCTCTTCAGGGTTGACAGGGCAGGGATTATACTTTATATTTTATATTTTATTACTCTTTGGGTAGGACGGATATATGATTACTCTTTGGGTAGGACGGATATATGATTACTCTCTGGGTAGGACAGATATATGATTACTCTCTGGGTAGGACGGATATATGATTACTCTCTGGGTAGGACAGATATATGATTACTCTCTGGGTAGGACGGATATATGATTTCTCTCTGGGTCGAACGGATATAAAATTACTCTCTGGGTAGACAGGATATATGATTACTCTCTGGATAGAACGGATATGTGATTACTCTCTGGGTAGGACGGATATAAGATTACTCTCTGGATAGAACGGATATATGATTATTCTTCTGGGTTGGACGGATATATGATTGCTGTCGGGGTAGGACGAATATATGATTACTCTCTGGGTAAAGCGGATACATGATTGATTTGGGTAGGACATCCTTACTCTTCTTCAGTAAAGAATTGATAGATGAAACTCTGGCCGGGTAGGAAGGATACATGATAACTCCATGTATGACGAATACACACTTACTCCGGTGAAGGAGTTTACCTGAGGAAGGGTTGAAGAAGAGATGAAACTGCTGACACCCAAACTGGTCTTATCTGATTCCAAACATTATTCCTGAAAAAAAACAATAGACTTCCTAAAACATGAAATATGTTTCTTTATATTCATATATTGGTAAAAATAATAATTGTTTAAACTGATTTTTTCAAACCTGTTCAACGCTTCCCAGCTCTCAGGTGTTAATTTTTCCAGCAAAGACTGAAAAGCCTAAAAAAAACTATCAGTTCGTAAAAAAAGTTAAAAAGAAGAGTGTTTAATTCAAACCTTAGTGATGGGTTGATAACTGTTCTCATCAGTAAACAGTAAACACCAGAGTACGCCTGGAAAACTCAACAATTAAAAAGAATCATGTTGACGCCGGAATGAAAAATTATAATTTTAAAAAAATTGTTATAATTTTAACCTTGTAAAACTAGTTCTGGCCAGTTTGACTCCGCTGCTCCAATACAAGTCTGAGTACACGCGGAGAGACCACAGCGCGAACCCAACCCGGCAAACTTAACAGATTTTTTAACTTTACTTAATTCTTACCGCGAGAATAACATCAATTTTCAAAAACAGTCAAATTTTAAAATCATTTCTCCTTTACTCGGAGGAGAAAATGCCGTGAAATATCATGAGAAGATTAATTCTTTTTTATCCTAGCACTCACAGATCGTAAGCGGAGATACACTTGATTGTAGTGAAATAATTTCTAATTTTCAGGTCGTCAATATGCTCTGCCTTCAACTCAACAACCCCTTCTTCTTCAATTTACGTCACTTTCTACTCCCGTAGTTTTATCTTTCTCTTTCCCATCGAGTTATCTCTACCTCTTTCTCATAACGTTTTCTTTACCTATTTCCCATAAATTTATCTTTACCTCCTTTCCATAAAGTAATCTCTACCTCCTTCCCATAAAGTTATCTCTACATCCTTCCCACAAAGTTATCTCTGCACCCTACCCATAAAGTTATCTTTACCTCTTTCCCATAAAGTTATCCCTGCCTCCTTCCCATAAAGTTATCTCTACCTCCTTTCCATAAAGTTATCTCTAACTCCTTTCCATAAAGTTATCTCTAACTCCTTTCCATAAAGTTATCTCTACCTATAAAGTTATCTCTACCAATTTTCTATAGAGTTATCTCTACATCCTTCCCATAAAGTTATCTCTACCTCTTTCCCATAAAGTTATCTTTACCTATTTCCCATAGAGTTATCTCTACCTCTTTTCCATAAAGTTATCTCTACCTCTTTCACATAAAGTTATCTCTACCGCTTTCCGTTAATTTTATCTCTACCTTCTTCCCATAAAGTAATCTCTACCTCCTCTCCCATAAAGTTATCTTTACATCCTTCCCACAAAGTTATCTCTGCACCCTTCCCATAAAGTTATGTCTACCTCTTTCCCATAAAGTTATTCCTACCTCCTGCCCATAAAGTTATCTCTAACTCCTTCCCATAAAGTTATCTCAACCTTCTTTCTATTTAAGTCATCTCTACCTCCTTTCCATAAAGTTATCTCTACTTCATTCCCATAAAGTTAACTGTACCTCCTTCCCATAAAGTTATCTCTACCTCCTTCCTATAAAGATAGCTCTACCTCCTTCCCATAAAGTTATCTCTACCTCCCCTCTCATAAAGTTATCTCTACCTCCTTCCCATAAAGATACCTCTACCTCCTTTCCAGTTGGAACAAAAGCTCCCATCTGTGTAAAGAGAAGACTGGAGAAATATCTCTGATTAGAGTTACAAAGAAGGATGAGGAGAGGCCATGAAGGTTGGGGTTTCTCCGATACAATTCTACAGGTCAAATACAGGTCTCTTAGTCCTGAAAACATATAAGAATAAGTTTTTCTAAACAAACATCATACATTTTTTTTCAAATTTCCCAAGAACGTATATGTGATATAATAAGTACTAAAAAATCTTTTTCTCCGTACATATATACTATGCGTGGGAAAGGGTTGGGTTTTAACCAACCTTTCTCTTCTTCATCCATGTATAGGCGTGGATGGATAAGCTGAATCCATGGTTGATATTTACTCTGGTGTTCATTCTCAGAACTTGGAATATACTTGGACATCTCGGAGACTGGAGCAGTAACCATTGTCAAGCATTGAACCAGCAAGTCACACTAAAAAAAAATAATCAAAATGACAAAACCCGCTTTTGTTCTTCCACTTTGATAAATTATTAGTTTGCATTAAAATATAAAAGATTACTTTAGTATGAATTAAAGAGAGTTTAGGAGAGCTGGGTTCAGAAAGCTCCAGGTGGTTTGGAGACAAAGCGTAGAGTAGTTCCTTAACCCGGAGAAGGATACAAAGAATATCAGCTCTGTACTGATCCAACCTATAGAGTAAGAATATGATATAAACCAGTGTGCATCATATCGTCAAAAAAGAAGGCTAAAATAAAGTAAAATTTGTGTTTTAATACCAGTCACATTCTGGGTAAATGAAAGTTTTTAAAATCTTTAAGAAAGTGTGTTACAAAGGAATTGAGTTTTTGCCACAAATTCTGGCTTTTTAATCCCTTGTATCTTTGCAACCCAAAGTTGTAGACCTTAAAATACAAAGGTTTACACCATAAAAATGCAAAGATATAGGGATCAGAAAATTTGAATTTGTGGCAAAAACTCAAATCCTTTAAAGGCAGGCTAGTAAGTAAAAGATTTTNAGGTAGAAAGACCACATCTGTATACAGTAGGATATACACCTACCTAGTAGACTCTAGGTAGAAAGACCACATCTGTATACAGTAGGATATATAACTACCTAGTAGACTCTAGATAGAAAGACCACATCTGTATACAGTAGGATATATACCTACCTAGTAGACTCTAGGTAGAAAGACCACATCTGTATGCAGTAGGATATATAACTACCTAGTAGACTCTAGATAGATGGACCACATCTGTATACAGTAGGATATATATCTACCTAGTAGACTCTAGGTAAAAAGACCACATCTGTATACAGTAGGATATATACCTACCTAGCAGACTCTAGATAGAAAGACCACATCTGTATACAGTAGGATATACACCTACCTAGTAGACTCTAGGTAGAAAGACCACATCTGTATACAGTAGGATATATAACTACCTAGTAGACTCTAGATAGAAAGACCACATCTGTATACAGTAGGATATATACCTACCTAGTAGACTCTAGGTAGAAAGACCACATCTGTATGCAGTAGGATATATACCTATCTAGTTGACTCTAGGTAGAAAGACCACATCTGTATACAGTAGGATATATACCTACCTAGTAGACTCTAGGTAGAAAGACCACATCAGTATACAGTAGGATATATACCTACCTAGTAGACTCTAGGTAAAAAGACCACATCTGTATACAGTAGGATATACACCTACCTAGTAGACTCTAGGTAAAAAGACCACATCTGTATACAGTAGGATATTCTCTCTCCTTCATGAAAGGGACGAGGGTCCTCCCAGTCCTGACTCTCACTGTCCTAATCATTGTAAAAAAATAAGTTTTGTTATAACTAAGAAAAATATTAAGTCGCTTTAAAATTCATAATTACTTGATTTAGACAAAATCCACGAAATAAAAAAAACGGGTTTCCGGGTAAAGGTGCAAGGAAGGAGTATTAAAGATTACTTGAAGGATCACAGTTGCAAGGTTGGAGGAGTAGAAGAGGTTCATCTGCTCACTCAGGGACTCCAGCAGGTCACAGGTCTCCCTATGTACACAATATAGACTCCAGTAGGTCACAGGTCTCCCTAGGTACACAATATAGACTCCAGCAGGTCACAGGTCTCCCTAGGTACACAATATAGACTCCAGCAGGTCACAGGTCTCCCTAGGTACACAATATAGACTCCAGCAGGCCACAGGTCTCCCTAGACACACAATTTAGACTCCAGTTGTTCACTGGTCTCCTTAGGTTTACAGTATAGACTCCAGCAGGTCCCAAGTCTCCCTAGGTACACAATATAGACTCCAGCAGGTCTCCCTAGGTTCACAATATAGACTCCAGTTGTTCACAGGTCTCCCTATATAAACAATATAGACCCCAGTTGTGTACAGGTCTCCTTAGGTTCACAATATAGACTCCAGCAGGTCACCGATCTCCCTAGGTACACAATATAGACTCCAGCAGGTGACTGGGCATCTGTCATAAAGAATGATATCAACTCTTACCAACCTTTTCTTACCAACCTTATTTACCTGTATAATGCGTTTAAGGAGCAGGAATTACTCTCTACCCCCAGGGTTTCACAATAGAACCACAACTTATTTCTGCAGAAAATTTCAAAGTATTAGATGTTGTTTTTCAAAATTTTTCTAGATACAGTAATTTGAAATTCAATCAAGCAAAGGAATTGAGTTTTTGCCATAAACTCAGATTTTCTAATTCCTATAACTTTGCAACCCGTTTTCCTAGACCTTTGATATTTTAAACTATTAATTCTGTTAGATCAAATAGTCTAAGTTTGAAAAATCAAAGGTTTACACGATCAGTTTGCAAAGATATTGGGGTTAGAAAATGAAAGTTTGTTGCAAAAACTCAATTCCTTTAAAAAGTGTTTCTGAAAAGATAAAGAAGATACTATGTGATACAAAATGATAAGGTGATACAAAATGAGAAGGTGAGAAAATAACTACAACGACTTCTATGTGGATTAACAAGCTAAAGAAGATAACAATCAATAAATCAACCTGCCAAAGCATCAACTTTATTAAATATGATCCTAACATAGTATCAACCAGACTAAATTGTATAACCTGACTAATGCTATCCCTCCTGCTACAGCTCCTAGTTTCTCCATATCTCCAGATCTAACCAGATACTCAGTCATCTCACCGAAATGTAACAGAAGTATCTGAGCTGATTCTGAAAAATTTCCTAAATTTTTTAAAATTTAAATTCACCTTATTCAATCAACCTTAATTTCTAAGATTTTTCACTTTCTGGTTCGATTTCAATTTAAAAATTGTTGTCTCACTTTGCAATATTATTTTTGAGAAATAAGACCTTATGAAGTTCTTCAACCCTTTTATTAAGCTTTTTTATGTTAATTAATTTACAAAGACGGTTAAAAGTTGTGGTTTTGAAGAAATAATTTAGGCGTTGATCCCAATATCTCTTGCAACAAAATATCGCAGACCTTTGATGTTTCATACAATGAATTCTGTTAAATAAAATAATCTAAGTTTGAAATATTAAAGGTTTAAACCATCAGGATTAAAAAAATTTGAGTTTCTGACAAAGGCTCAGTTCCTTTAAATTTTGGTGTTGAAAAAAAACCCAACCTCTGATTGAGTTGTAGAAGTCCTCGATATCAACAATATCTTCAGGTTTCGTATCTTCTACACAACTAGGTTCTATCATTATAATATCCTCCCACTGGGTCTCAAACCTGGTTTTCTAAAATAAACATGGATAATGAAAACAATTCTCAGTTAAAGGGACTGTTCTTGTAGTTTCAAGTAACATCTTGTCCGATTCACAACGGTAACTTTTGAATCTTAATCTGATCAATGATGTGAAAAATATCGAACATTCCACTCAATAAATGGAATTATATCAACAATCTTTTTAAGTTTTTAAAATTAATTAGTTATTGGCCATACAGCTTTTATTACAGTTTCTTTTTTATTTGGAACTAGATAAATGGCCCAGCGTTGCCGGTGGAAGAAAAAAACATGGAACCTTTTTTTGAAACAAGTACCAAAAAAACATTTGAAAAAAATGTTTGAATTTAAAAAAATTCCAGCCCATTGGGTCCAGCCGGGAACATGTATATATATACGAATGTCTTGTTTTATTATATAGATGTTAAAGTTCAAACTTATTAAAGACATCGTTGTTAATTAAAGAGGTTCATATCTAATTCACAATGTAAAAGTTAGTGTTTGACCTCTTGAACATAAGATTTCTCAATATTTCTGACTTTTTTATCAAAGGCTATGGTTGTAAACATATGTGACCTCTGACTTTAACTTTTGAAGTTTGCCCCCTGATCTTGTAAAATGACCTGGTTATAGGTTAGTTTAGCCAGACATATATCCCACTTCCTTGAGATAAGGTTGGCAGACTCTACAGTTTGCTTAGGATAATCTAGCACTCCTCCATACCTTTATATCTTATAATTATTCAAAAGAATAAAAATTAAAACAAAAGATGATGATGATGATGATAATGGTGATATTGATGATGATGATGATGATGATGATGTGATGTTTATGATTATGATAATAATGAAAATGATGATAATAACAATGATAATAATGAAAATAATAATAATAACAGTAATAATAATAACAATAGTAATAATAATGATAATAATAATAATAATAATAATAGTAAAAATAATAATAATAATAACAGTAATAATAATAACAATAGTAATAATAATGATAATAATAGCAATGATGATAACAAAAATTATAATAATTATAGTTATTTTAACAGTAATGATAATAATGATTACAACAATAACATTAATAATAATAATAAAACTAATAATAATGTTTTCAGCTATAGTCGATATAGTAGTTGTAATTGGTTTAACTGATATCTATAGCTGTAAACATACAAATTTTAAAGTCCTTCTTAGCTGTATTTTTTATTAATTGAATGAACGAAGACGACAATCAATCTCCTGATAATTGGTTGTATTACAGTGATAACCCGAAAAAATTGAATAGGAAGACGACATTATAGCAATATTTAAGTATATTTGATGTTGTTACAAAGCAAATAGTTTTAATAGATACTTATCAAATCATTATATAAGTGAAATGGGTCTGTTTACACTGCTCAGTTGCTGTGTCTACTGCTAATTGGGCTATCAAAAGTGATAATTTGAGTTTAAAAGTCGTCTTCCTAGTTCAGAGTTTTCTGGTTCTGATTGTTTATACCTAACAGGGCAGATAGTTTCCACCACAAGTTTCCCAGTTTCCACAAGATCTCGGAGTTCCTGTTGAACCATATCTTTAGTTAACTCCAACAGCTGAAAATATTTTTGCTTTCAATATAATCTTAAATTCAATAATGATAAATATAATTTATTTATAGTTCATTGGGAATATTAGACCTATAAACTAAGCTAATGTAGAATCGTTCTATCTTATGATTATTATTTTAGTTTAAATTGTCTCAAATAAATCACTGGATTGAAAGTGATCAGAATTAAGTTAAATTTATTTTAATCTGATATTTTTTTTATGTAGATTTTTCTTATTTATTATTTTCTAAATTTTGTTGGGCAAGATATTATTAGATCGTATATAGCTCAAAATTGTGATTTTAGGGACTAATCAGAAAATTTAAAAACAATGAATCTTTTAAAAAAAACTTAAAAGGTTTATATAACAGTTTGTTATGCAGAAAATAATAGGTTTTTTGAGTATTATGTGCGTATTTTGGCGTTAAAGCTTGTAGATAATTTAATATGATATGGCCGTGATGCTCTGTACATATGTTTTAAAGTATTTACATGAAGTCTATTTTTGATAGATTATGAACAAGAGATCAAGAGTGATTGCATTTAATTCGATGGTGATCAACACTATCTAATTATAATATTTATTTTCTCCTTATAGGTACAACCGATAGAAGTAAGATTAATAGCGATGACCATCGAAGTTAGCCTATACGTAATACCGCCTTCCATTTTTCGCAAACACTCTCTTTAAGTGTATTTTCGAAACAGACCTGGATTTAATTAAATTTCATTGCAAAAACGACATTTCCAGAAATTTTAAGAAATCTGCTAATAAATTGATAGAAAATAAAGAATTCAAGATAAAAATAATTAATAAAAAATCGATTATACCATTGATTTCATCGATAGTTTCTCTTGAAAAATATGTATATGGAAAAATTGTAAATATTCATTTAAAATTCGGTGATGGTGATGGACCAAACCTCTGTAGAGTAAAAAAAGTAGATGTTAGTTCCACATTTATTGAAAATATATTTCGGTCTGGCTTGACCCTCGTCAGTTCTTGAGATTGTTTCTGACACAAAGATTACAAACAAATATTCACTTTTATGCTAGATTAATGCTTGCTCTATTTGATCAATGATGTTTGATCATGGAGTTTACCTCCTGAGTTTTGAACTCATAAACCTCCTCCCGTCCTACAGTATAGGACGGTTGCTCCAGGTACGTTTTTAATATTCTCAGCATCATTTTATAATCAAATCATATTATCTGGAAAACGAAATTTCGAATTATGGCTTCGTAATTATTAACTTTACACTGGTTTAATAATGTTGCATTACAGTTTTTAATAATAATACAATCCAAAGACAGCTGTACAACAAAATAAACTATCATTCATGTAAACTTCGCTAGCGTAGTTATCTGTATCCGAGTCCCAGAGACACCTTGAACCCATCCTTACTCCTTCTCCTCTTTGCTCTCCTATCACAACCTCCACTACAATCTTGTACCTGGAAAATCAGCAGAGGAAATAAGGCAGACTTATTGTCAAAGACAAAAAGACTTATAAGGGTTGTTATTTTCTTTTTCAAAATTTTCTTTCTTGAGATTTTCTCTGTCTCTGAATTGGCATAGCTCTATAAAAAATGATTAATATAAAAGATATTTAAGGCACATTTTAAAGTAGAGATAATAACTATTTTAAATATAACGAAGTTCTTTGCTGTATTACTATCAAAAGAAAGATATAAGAGGGAAACTAATCAACTAATTTTACTAATTATTGCTGAATTTAGTGTCAAAACATAATAACCCTTTTTAACCATAAACCAACAAATATTTGAGAAAATATCAGAAATTATTACTTGGAAAATCTCTACATTGCTATAAGAATCGTTTTTAGATTTGTCTTCGTAAAATAAAAATGATACAGGGCTATCCACAAAGGATTAGACTTGACAGACGACTGTACAGAATCTTTGTAATAATTTTTTTCCATTCCATGGTTCTCTGCAGCTGTACATTTTGTACGATCATTTGATAATAAAATAAGTTTTCCATTAAAATACTACATTTAAAGCGGTAGGCTGAATTCAACCTTAAGATCGTCATGTTTAAAGAGTTTCAGGTCGCTATTTGTCATCTTTTGTGTATATAAGGAGTTATTTTCTTTAACCAATCAGAGACGAGCAGCAATATATCCATCCACAATGAGCAGCAATTCATCAAATAACTAGAACCATATAAATTCCAGTCATAGGAAAAACCAGGTGGATACAGCGGATACAGCGGAAATCACTTTTAAATTCGTACTTCTATATATAGATTTGGCTTGTCTGTTTGTCCGTTTGTATGCAATAAACGTCAAAACGGCTGAACCGATCGGGCCCACATATCATTGTATTATTTGAAAAATTTGTGTTTTTTATTTTTGTAAAATTTTGAAAATGCGCGAAAAAATATTATGAAATCCGCAAACGTTTTTTTTTTGCTTTTGTTTTATACTGTGCAAAGAGAAGATGCTCACAGATAGAGCCACAATTAAAAGTTGAAATAAAAGATGGGCGCGAAGCGCCCTAAAAGCCTAGTTTAATGAAATGTACAGTACGAGGATATGGTCGGACCGGTACAAATTTAGTAGAGCTTTCATAATTCTGAGATGGCATCGTAACAGGTCGAACAGTTGGCGATCAATTTACATGATCAACATTAGGATTTCTGATTGAACCTACCTTTCATATCCTAGAGTTTTAACTTGAGCTTTTACAGAGTCCGCGATCGTTTTACTCCAGGAGGAAACCTTCATTGAATCATATAGTTTCCCGCCCAGGATCTCATTCAGGATACTCACTATCAACTCCTTAACAATTGAAAAATTTAGAAGTGAAGGAACTGATAACTTTATAATCCCTATATCTTTGAACACTGATGTCGTAAACCTTTGATATTTAAGCTATGACATCTGTTGGATCGAATAGTCAAAGTTTTAGATACCAGCAGGTTGCAAAGATTAGTACTAATTTATCAAAATGAATTTCCATCTATTTTTAAAATTTATAAAGAAAAAAGGACACTTTTTAATGTGGTTTAAATTAGTTTAGTTGAAATAATAATAAGAGATAAAAAGAATAGTGAGTTAATTGAGTTTGAAATTTTCGATAAAATAGCAAGTTTCACCCTAACTAACAAATATAGAGACGAGGTAAATTTAAACTTATTTTAGTTGTCTATTGAAACTCCTTGTACCTTAACAGCTCCTGGTTTAAACTTCTGAGAGAACGGGGGCCTGATCTGAAAGTTTTGTTCTTCAGGAGTATCCTTGGCCTTAGGTTTAGACATTCTAAACTTTACTCAGGGTCCACGCTCAGCACCGATTATTCAAAAACTTGGTTCAGAAGAGGAAAGAAAAGTTAAGATTCAAAATCATTCATTTATCAAGAATCTGAAAAAAATATTTCAATCCTTTGCTTCTGTGAAAATGGTTCCCTCAAACTTAAAAAAAGCTGAAAAAAATTAAAATTATAATTTTTTTTATCTAAGTTTTGATTGTAAACGAGCTTTTTTCGAATTACAAGTCTACAAATAATTAAAGCAAAGCTTTGTTAATTGACAGCTTCTTTGGACTTCTACGTTTTTTGTGTATCCAAACTGTTTTACAGCTTAATTTAAATCTAAATTGAAATCGAAAGTCGTCTTCGTTGTATTGATATAATCGCCTACCCCTGTACAAGTACAGAATGTACAGTTTTTGCTTGAACAGAGGTGGGGAACTCTTGTACTGTAGAAATAGAGATCAATATTTGATCTTGAACTTTTGTTGATCTGCAGATTAATTTAATCTTTATTCGATATCCCTTGAAGTGCCAGTCAGATACCCCGTGAACAGCCAATCAGAAGCCGGAGAAGTTTGCGTTCAACCAATGACTAATGAGAGACGGAAATTGCTGATTTCCAAAATTAGGATATCATCCAGATTCTGCGTAAAATTCAAAAGTGCCAGCTGTGGATATCAAGATCAGGCGATTATGAGTATACAATGCAAAAGCTTCCAACTTATGGCATTGTGTACAAAAATCAGTGAAAAAAAAATCTAGTATAAACTACTCCTTAACTAAAGAGAAAGTATAAGAAATCAATATCACACTTTATAATAGTTTGTTCATTTAGAATTATTTGAATATTTAGTGCACAAGCCACCAGTTCCTGGGGATAAATATTTTTCCGAATTTTCAAAATGTAATTAACAACTGGAGGTTTTATCAGGTCTTAAAATACCCCTTGTATCCTTAGATTTCTCATTCAGTTAAGTTTATGTTTTGTGTGAGAAGTAAATATGCGTACATTTGTTTAACGGTCACAACCAATGAGATTGCTAACATTTTTTTGTTGAGACAAATTTGAACACCTTATAACAAGAGTACACTGTAAACTAGACAGAAGGAAAATTACAAGTTCCACTATGTGACCTCGTAGCTCCTCTAGATTTAATTTTACGTACAAATATGAGAACATAAAAGTTATCAAATTATTAAATAGAAATTTAATTTTTTTTGGGTTGTTCTCATTTGCTCCTTAATAAGAAGAGATATGATAGAAAACATATCAGATTTCAATCTTACGTGAAATTTACTTTAGCTTGTCGTGACTACGGCATGCCCAGGCCTGGCCCTCCTTCCCGGCCTAAGAATTCTGACCCTTCTCTACAAACTAGTTTCTGAGTGGTACTAAAAAATATCAACAAACTCTATCCCCACTATACTTCTACTTTCATTGGTCAACGATAAAATAAAAAAAAGAAATTGTTTCAATATTTGAAACATACTTGCTATCTATCTTTATATTAAATTGTTTTGTTTATAAATATATATGAGTAGCAATGTGAATAGTTTTGTCAATAATCATCAACTAAGCAGTAAACAGTACAGAGTAAATACTACAGAGGTAGACAAAACCACATAGATAGATAGATAGATAGAGTAGGATAGGTTAAAAAGCAGGTAGAAAGTATACCTTTCCTAAGTATTTATATTTAAATAAAAAAATATCCCATGATTTTTAAAAAAATAACTTGGAGGAATATAAGACATTTATTATTGTTGAAAATAAACATATAGAAATATATAAATATAATATAACTATAATAACATTGTAATTTTTGAACCGCTTACGAGATTTCCCTCAAACTTGTATTGTGGAACTCTGAATTGAAACATCGGAATGTGCATAGCTTGGTTTAAAAATTCTAATTTAAGCGTGTCGAATTTTAGAGAAAGTTTAGTTTCCAGACAAAGCTGAATTCCTAAATCGTGTACTTTAGATTTCTTTACTGGACATTCTTTATTATTTTTACTCCTGTTTAAATAACTAAAAGTTTAAAAGGCTTTCAAGAATTTATTTGAATTATGTCCCTTTAATATCCCTCCTAGTAGTTGCAATGTTTCCCTTTAATATCCCTCCTAGTAGTTGCAATGTTTCCCTTTAATATCCCTCCTAGTAGTTGCAATGTTTCCCTTTAATATCCCTCCTAGTAGTTGCAATGTTTCCCTTTAATATCCCTCCTAGTAGTTGCAATGTTTCCCTTTAATATCCCTCCTAGTAGTTGCAATGTTTCCCTTTAATATCCCTCCTAGTAGTTGCAATGTTTCCCTTTAATATCCCTCCTAGTAGTTGCAATGTTTCCCTTTAATATCCCTCCTNCCTCCTTTCATCTAGAATAAATCTAATTTTTATTCCCGTTGAAAATGTTGAAATTGCTTCCTCTGATTTAGAGTTTCAATAGGAATCAAAAATTAAAATTATAGAATATACAGGGAGAGGGGAAACAATTTTTAGGATTCTATAAGATTTACAAAAAATGTTATAATATTATTTCATAATTAACGATGGACAAATTTTGAGAAAGGAATAAAGAAATCATAATAAAAAAGAATGCTATTATGTCGGCCGTAGAAAAGAACAGAGACATATTTGGCATAAAGTAGGGAAAAAGGTGAATTAGTCTAATTTTGAAAAGATTATGAAAATATTTTGATAAAGGCAATTTTTAGTTTAAGGATGGATAAAAAAAAAGTTGTTTAACAAGTAGAAACCCCGATTGAAACGAATCAGAAGTTATTAACGTTATTCCAAAAATCAAAATGTGATTAATGATTCACAACAGCTCCCTTTATGCCGAAAAAATGGCGTGAACTCGTTTATTTATCTGGATTTAAAAAAAATCTTCAGTCATTTTGGAATTAAGTAATCATAAATATATCAAAACTATCAAATATTAATTTTTTCACAAAAAGAATAATATATAAAATCAACGAAAACAACAAAATAAGTTTACTGATAAAACAGCTCTGGTAAGAATGATATTTTAACAGAAAGATTCGACCCAATTGGCCTAAAAGTAACATATTGTAAAGAAAGAAATACCCGAAAGATAATTATAGATTCCACAAATGACCTATTCATCATTATCTTCTTTAATAGACTTGTTATTCATTATTCATTTGTAGCAATAATTTGTACTTCTAATATATTTTTATTTTAAGATAGTGTTTCATGGTGATTTGTGTATATTATTTACTAGTATAATTAAACAAGCTCTTTAAAGGGACTGTTAAGGTTAAATGAAAGGGGTATAGGCTGAAGCCTAACCATTTAATGAGTTGATCATGACTAATATTAGTTCTATCTGATGTCCCTATCTCGAGAAATTGATATAAAACGTTGTCAAAATTATACCCAATATACCCAAAACTCATATATATAATATGGCATAAGAATCAAAGTTTTAAACGGATCATATTCAGAAAATACGGAAAAAATGTTTAGGCTTCAGCCTATACCTCCTTTCATTTTACGTTAACAGTCCCTTTCAGTTTGCTGATGAATTATATGTTTGACGGAGAACATGTGTCGAACGAGTTTAAACCCCTGGCCAGAGTATTTCATTGTTTTTAGTTGAAACTCAAAACATTTAGAATTATATTCTTAAAGGGACTATTGACGTAATTTGAAGAGGAACATAACGAATCCTTGAAATCTTTTAAATCTTAATAACATTAGTCAACTGCCTTTACCGCAAGAAAGTCAAAGTTTTATCTATAGAGACGAACCCAATGGATGGCAACGTAGAATGTGTACACTCTCAGTACAGCTGTATTCTTAAACGCCATAAGTGTCAACTTAGTTTTTGTGTCCGAAAAAAATTATTAATAATAGTGATAATTTTGGAATGAAGTGCTTATTTTACAGTTTAAAAAGTGAAATTTTTCTGTTTTTACACTTTTTTATTTAATCTTGGAAAAAATGACAACTGATGTGAGAAAATTTCTTTATCCTTGTTATATCTGACACTTGTGACGTAATGCATAATTGGTCCATTTCTCTGTTGCCACCTATTGTAGTTGATAATCTATTGAAAGTCAATAAGTTTATGTAGAAACTAAGAATATCTTCAACATGTTTGTTTAGGTAAAGGTTTTGAAACGGAGGCTCACTTGAAATTACTTCTACAGTCTCTTTAAGAGGGGATTGAGTAAGGTGTAAAATCCCATAATCTGCAAATATTGAAGAATGTGGAACATTGTCCAGAAATTCTTGGATACATTTAACAAATTTAAACTATAATTAGAGAATTGTTAGATTAGTATTAATAGACAGTAAAGTTAGTCTGGACACGAAATCAAAATAATTTTACAGAATGTAGTTTAAAGGGATTGCTCGTGAAAAATGAAAGATTTTGATAATTATTTACTGTGCATGGCAATATTAATGCTATCCGATGTTTCTATATAAGGCCGATATCCGATAAACCGATTCGTGTACGGAGTTCATTAACATTAACATTAACACTAACACTAACACTAACACTAACACTAACACTAACATACTAAGACTAAGACTAAGACTAAGACTAAGACTAAGACTAAGACTAAGACTAAGACTAAGACTAAGACTAAGACTAAGACTAAGACTAAGACTAAGACTATCAATAAGACTATCAATAATAAAAATAACAATAAATTTATTCAGTTATTTATGAGAAAACTCAAATACTTCTGATCTCAATAGCTTATCAATTATGATTGAAAACAAATAAGACTTCAATCTCACGTGCATTTTAGTTGACAACCATCCCGTAGTAACTTATTTAATTTGATACTTTACTTGGTCAGAAAGTAAATATAATATTTTAAGGGAAACCCTGTTCACAGGGGCGGCTTATGATATTTTCCAGAGGGAGGGGGGGGGAGGAAGAAATTGAAAGCGCGACGGAATTTGTTTTTCCCTTGATTTTTTTTACAGGGAATTTATTCAATTTTATGCCAAAACCTTGACCAGCTAGGGGTAGAAGGTGGAAAATGTTTAAGTGGCGCAGCAGAAAAACTTTTATGAACCTTTTCTTAAAATCAAAATTAAAGGGTTGCCTGGTCTCTCTTTTTGTGCTCTTAATTTTTCCAGGGGGAGTCCCCCAGTTTTGAAGGG